ACTTAATGATAAAATTGTAACCGGATTTGGTTTTACCCTCAAACCTAGGTACCACTCACGGCACCAATGTAACCGGAATTCGCTACATGGTATCAATGCAATTTAGGAAATTCCACGATACCAGTGTAGCAAAAATGACCGAATGAAAATACCTCTTTAATATCACTCACTTTCTTTATTAATAATAGTACTTCGCGTTTTATTCCAATTTCTTACTAACCAAAAACCCTCATGATTTTTAAATATAGTCATGAAAGTGACTTACTAACCCAAGAATTTTAATAACAAGAGTTTGCAAATTAACAAATATTTATTATGACCACAAATGTATTTTATTAACAGCACAAAAATATTACATTTATTTATTTACAACAAAAACTGATGTACTAACGACCTTACACTTATGAGCCTCAATAAAAATAAGTGCCTACCTAACAAATGTACAATGTCCAGAGCCCTTCCTACCCAACGCTAAGTCCGAATGAAAGTGACCCACCCCTGCACGAAAAATCTACTATGCCTAACCTTACCGGTTTACCAAAAATAGAAATAAGGAACTGGAAAATGGACGTAAAAATAAGGAAAACAAAAAGGATAATGATGAACGAATGAACGATTTGAACGAGACAGAGACAGGGACCGGGATCCACCCCTCTAATCAAAAAGTGAGCTGGTACGAACCTTTGAGAAGGTTCCAGACCAACTGATCTAAACGTGAAATGCTGGACTTTAAATACACCGCGGTCTGAAGGTGTGTCTCTCTTATCCAATTAAAATCTACATTCTATGTATAACCCAGACAAGGACGTTACCCAAATCACTGAATAAAGCTAGAAAGTTTCCGAATGTAAAACAAACGATCGTAACCAATAAGAATTATCGCTATTTACTAACTATGTAAAATCCAATCCTACCACACTCCCCCCACCTCAAAACCGAAATATCTTAAAAAGATATTGAGGATAAAATGTGTAGGTCAATTTCAAAAATATTCTGGTAGTACATGAGCAATAGTTAAACATTTCAATTTTCTTCACTTTAAAGTCACATTGAAATAAAATTATATTCAATACTTGTACTTTCAATTAACAGTTAATAAGATAAATGTTCACTGGTTTCACTGTTTCATCTGGATGGAATCATCATGTAATCCAAGGCGGTTGATCAATGCACAACATAAGGAATATCTTACTTTCAAATTTTTTAGAACACTTTTAGATAAATATTCATATTTTTCGACTGATTTCACATCACATCGCATCACTTCACATGACATCACATATATTTCACATAATTAATCACACAAGTCGAACACGACGACAATCCTCCATGAATTACTGATGTGCCGAAGACTCCAAGGCTCCTCCAATATTGAATACGGATGTGTTGATTCCTTTTCAGAACAATGTGTTTCTCTTGTACTTTCACCTGTAGATACTTGCTACCAGTTTCGCTGGAGATCATCAACTTCCCCAGTCCCCACTACAAGTACATATAGTTGTCCAACGTCCATACTAAGTAGACAAAAGAAAAAGAGTGAGTATTATGCATAAAATCCATGAAAAATGTGTCTTAATACTAAAGCAGACTACTGATGCTGTCAACAGAAATCATGAAACCCGTCGAGTTGCAGCCCCAGTCCCTACAGCAGAGTTTGCAGAAAGAAATTAACCTCGCTACACTTCCGTACTGGATTCCTTGCAATAAGTGTACCCCTGTAGTTCTGCAGAGCCACAACCCCCTCTAACAGCAGGAATCTAACCCCACTGCCCTTTGGCATCGAGAATCATGACCCTGGGGCGAATATAGATTTTAAATAATAAAAGCTTGTCAGAACACGACTGACAAGGGTAGTACAATATTTTAACCAAAAAAAACCCCCAATCCCGCAGTATTGGCAGCTAATCCCGCAGTATTAGCCTAATATTGTACTTTCACCTATTTACAGGCCAATTCACAGCTCATGAAATGGCTCGAATCATATTCTAGTAAAATTTATCATTATTAATTCATCGAGAACATAAAGCCACAGTAATGAATACTGTCTTGTCAAACTTTAAAATTTCTCTCATTAATCCTGACAAATTTCATTGATTTTGTAATTTTAACTAATAAATAAACAAACCAAAAATATATGTATAAACCAGTTTTATAAAAAGTAGTCGGTGCTTTCTAAGTTATTAAAGAAATCGGCAAACAATGAAAGCTTACTTTTACTACAACAAATTCAAAGTAATCTTAGTGCCAAAGTACTACATATAGTCGGGTTAACATCGAGAATAACCTTTGCTGCACCAGGCAGTAAGCATGACTGTTGTTAAGCCAAAATATATGCAATAAAAATAAATTACATTTACTTAGGGTACACAAAAAGTTTAGGTGTAAAACAACTTTTTAATTAAATATATCTAAGTTAACGTCTGAATTCCTTTTCAGCATGACAGCGAACGTTAAGTCAAACATAATTAATAATTAAAATCATGGAGAATATTTTTCTAGTGGTTTTATTTTTCTCCCAAATTTAGAAAACGTTTCGAAATTTTGAGGCATTAAGGTCTCACAGTTTGAAATAACCCAAGATATGTCACAAGATCTAAAAATGGCAGACCTAAGGGATGATCACCGGCTCTGTCCCCGTCTCGTTCAAAAACCAACTCACAAACGACCAAAGAAAATAATCTCAGATATAAAAACAAAAATACTCTAGGCTTCACACAATGAAGTCTCTCAAAAATATGTCTTAAACTGAGAAAATCTTAACCAAGGTGTTCGTAAAAATATGCTGCATAATTTTCTCAAATAAAACAAACCATATCACTGCTTCAAGAATCCAATTACTAGTATCATGGACCATAAAGCCTAAAATGGAATGTCTTATCCAAAAATATGTAGCGCATGCGTACTGATATAACCTTCTGAACTTATCCCCCCCCCCAAAAAAAAAAAATAATAATTCACCTTTAGATCTATCATATGCTCATATACTTCAGTAAACTTGAAAATAACTTGTCTATCATTTAATTGTCTAAATTTATTCAAGAAAAATGCCCAGTGTATTGAGATACACTCTGGTTTCAACATTTTTCTTAAACACACACAGAAAATATGAATGTTCAATGAACTCCCTATTTACGGTGACAGCCATTCAGTTCTATTTATAACATGTCAAACCAGTGTAAAACTATTCAAGGACACGCATGAGTGCTACGTGTACTACTTAAAGTAAAACAGGTTTTGTAAACACCGTATAAGACTGTTCTATTTGTAGAGCATGCTGTAAAATTGTCGCTTAAAAAAATCATGAGTGAAAACAAAAATTCTAATGTGCAAAAATGAAGACTGAAATAAAGGTACTTCACACCAAATATATATCAAATTGTATACATAAGCTACTAGTGACAACAATTTACCTGTAAGATAAAAATAGAATGAAGTCAATCGAGTGTTTGATTTAAATGCACTTCGCTCGTGCGTGGCTGACTACTGCTAGAATGTGTTTATACTCATACCAAAAATTGTACTGCGTAATAAATTTATTTCTCAATTATCACTAACCCAAGTTCACCCCTGGAAGGTCTATGCATGCCTATCTATTTTACAAAGTAACCACATTTGATAGGACATTAACCTCCACGCCCAGGGACCGTCACGGCACCAATGTAACCGGATTTGGTTTTACCCTCAAACCTAGGTACCACTCACGGCACCAATGTAACCGGAATTCGCTACATGGTATCAATGCAATTTAGGAAATTCCACGATACCAGTGTAGCAAAAATGACCGAATGAAAATACCTCTTTAATATCACTCACTTTCTTTATTAATAATAGTACTTCGCGTTTTATTCCAATTTCTTACTAACCAAAAACCCTCATGATTTTTAAATATAGTCATGAAAGTGACTTACTAACCCAAGAATTTTAATAACAAGAGTTTGCAAATTAACAAATATTTATTATGACCACAAATGTATTTTATTAACAGCACAAAAATATTACATTTATTTATTTACAACAAAAACTGATGTACTAACGACCTTACACTTATGAGCCTCAATAAAAATAAGTGCCTACCTAACAAATGTACAATGTCCAGAGCCCTTCCTACCCAACGCTAAGTCCGAATGAAAGTGACCGGGATCCACCCCTCTAATCAAAAAGTGAGCTGGTACGAACCTTTGAGAAGGTTCCAGACCAACTGATCTAAACGTGAAATGCTGGACTTTAAATACACCGCGGTCTGAAGGTGTGTCTCTCTTATCCAATCAAAATCTACATTCTATGTATAACCCAGACAAGGACGTTACCCAAATCACTGAATAAAGCTAGAAAGTTTCCGAATGTAAAACAAACGATCGTAACCAATAAGAATTATCGCTATTTACTAACTATGTAAAATCCAATCCTACCACAAAATGTATACTATTCATTGAATGGTTTTACCTAAAATTGGATAATATTGATTGGTTGCTTCGGTAATATCTGACGTGTCACACTGGGACTCAAACATCTGCCTGTGATTTTAGACCAGGCCTGGGGCATAAAACTTAGAGGAGCTCACATTTGATCTCAGTCTCACTTTTTTCAAAGAAATATATAGTGAAAAAGTGAGAATGAGATTAAAAGTGAGCTCGTCTAAGTTTTATTCCCCCTAGGCCTGTTCTCGGTACTTCAGGGTCTTTGTCATGACTGCACACCTCGAGGTATAAAGTTTTCGATAAATGGCCAAAATCCACATCAAGCAGTCAGGGGATTCAATCCAGTACGTAATTAAGGATCAACTTCTTACGTTGCCAATCTAGACCGAAGGCTGGTACCACTAAGTCATATGTTAGCAACTCTATGGATATTGTAATTTCATTTTATTTTTTTTTAAATTGTCATAGATTATGAATTGGATTTAACAAGTAATGAGTACATGTAAAACAAAGAAATCTCTTAATACTGTTCAATTTTGACTCATCTCTTCTTAAATAAAAGAATAAAAAACAATCAAAGTATTTCTTGATTTAGTATTTTTATTAACGTATATCAGTAACAAGCTGCATAAGTATATGGGAAGGATAAAATAAAACATATACCGGTTATTTATATAAATTTTATAAAAAAATGAAACATTGTATATACTGTATGTTCTTTATTTGCAAAATATAATGAGCAAGTAAAACATTGTTAGAATATAACAAAATATTAAAAGCATTTTCTATGAACAATAGAAGGGCCGGATTCGTCATATTCCTGCTTACTGATCCACATCTGTTGGAAAGTGGAGAGGGAAGCAAGGATAGAACCACCGATCCAGACGGAGTATTTCCTCTCTGGTGGAGCAATGATCTTTATCTTCATTGTTGGTGGAGCTAATGATGTTATTTCTTTTTGCATGCGGTCAGCAATACCTGGGTACATTGTTGATCCACCAGATAACACTGTATTTGCGTACAAGTCCTTACGGATATCAACATCACATTTCATGATGCTGTTGTATGTCGTTTCATGAAGACCAGCAGCTTCCATTCCAAGGAAAGAAGGTTGGAACATGGCTTCAGGGCACCTGAATCGCTCATTTCCAATCGTGATGACCTGGCCGTCGGGAAGTTCGTAACTCTTTTCCAAAGATGATGATGACGCAGCTGTTTGCATTTCCTGTTCAAAGTCCAAAGCAACATAGCACAATTTCTCTTTAATGTCTCTTACGATTTCTCTTTCGGCTGTGGTTGTGAAAGAGTAACCACGTTCTGTTAGGATTTTCATGAGATAATCGGTCAGATCACGCCCAGCAAGATCCAATCTTATAATGGCGTGGGGAAGGGCGTAACCTTCATAAATAGGTACTGTGTGGGAGACACCGTCTCCAGAGTCGAGCACAATTCCAGTTGTACGACCAGAAGCATACAGGGAGAGAACAGCCTGGATAGCAACGTACATGGCAGGAGAATTAAAGGTTTCAAACATTATCTGCGTCATCTTTTCTCTGTTGGCCTTTGGGTTGAGTGGGGCTTCAGTTAAAAGGACGGGGTGTTCCTCTGGGGCCACACGAAGTTCATTGTAGAAGGTGTGATGCCAGATCTTCTCCATGTCGTCCCAGTTTGTGACGATACCGTGTTCAATGGGGTATTTGAGGGTGAGGATACCTCTCTTACTCTGGGCCTCGTCTCCTACATAGCTGTCCTTCTGTCCCATGCCGACCATAACCCCCTATAAATGAAGAATATATATATATATCAGTTAATATCTTCGGATAAAATCAGCATTCGAGAGGTTAATTTCAAATTTGCAGCTTATCAGTACATTTTGATTTAATTTAGCATTTTTTTTTTTCATTTCCGAAGAGGAGCATTGGCGCGTGTTTAAATGAACCCTGATTTACATGCAGTGACTGCACATCTTTTAACCAACACAATTAAGGTCAAATACAAAATAGTATAATTCAATTAAATAAAAACTATAATAATTATACTTTAAAAATATATTGTTTTATCACATCTAATTGTTAAGTAATTGATCACTCAAATGGCTTAAAAGTACATTAAGGCATTAGATTCATCCACGCACATTTACAGTAATTAGTTTTTGAAACTGGAACACTGATATCTTTCATATATGCATCCATTATGTATAATTCATGTTCTGTTTTCTTTATACTGACATAATTTGATATTTGTTTCAAACTTGTACTGTTTGCCTATAATCCATCTTGCCACGCCCTAAACGTGTCACATACATATGTGTATGTTCTTAAAACTGGTATATTATATATAGATTTTAATCAAATTAAAAAGCGAAGTAAATCTTCCGAGGTTGCAAATGAAATGCATTAAACATGTATTACAAAAATCAATATTATCTTGGCAGTCCAAGAAATACGTAGTTATCATATTCTCAAAAGTTAACCTAGTTTTCCTGACAAAAAAATCTCATTCATGCTTAAATCAACTTTTACCTGATGCCGAGGGCGTCCCACGATGGAGGGAAACACAGCCCTGGGAGCATCGTCTCCGGCAAATCCAGCTTTACACATTCCAGATCCATTGTCAATAACTAACGCTGCAACATCTTCGTCACCCATATTTCAGATGCTGAAAAAGCTTTCTCTACACGTATTGCAACCTGAGAGGTAGTTTTGTTCACACAGAGGAAGTCGCTTGTTAAGGTTGTTTAAATACTGCGAGGTAGATTTAAAGTCAAGCAGAAAAAAATTGCCTTATATGGCAAATGCTGCATTGCTATAAATATATATCACTACTTGCTCAAATGCACAGTGTGGTAAGAGGAACACGCAAATAGTCAGCAGACGACTTTGTGTTCATAAGGCATGACGGGTTAATATCGGTTCAGCAGACTTGAAAATCATTAGATCCTGTAACATATGCATAACATCTGTCAATATTAAAGTCAAAACAATGATGCTCTCTTTCAAAATCCTGTCTGTTTGCCCTCATGTCTGCAAGTCTGAAACATTTTAAAGCTTTCAATACATGAGAGTGACAGAATCTACCGGCTACAATTACTTTTTAGGTAGATCTATGCAATTAAAGCGTTGGGTTTTATTCTCTTTCTTTGTTTTTCAGTGGCACTTGGACTCTCTCATATAAATTCAATGAAATATATTGAAAGGAATAAGAAATGCAGGGTAGCATAATATTCGAAAAAAAAATTTTGACCGCATGACCAAAAATTACGAAAATTGGTCAGATGATAAATTCAGTTACTATACACCAAAATCAGTGTTCAGAATTACTCAACCAAATAATGTTTTCAACATTTATTTAACCATTATTCGAAGTTATGAAATTGGAAACATTAATTGAGAAATTTATGAGGAATGTTTCATTCGTTCAAGTCCAACAACAATTTGAAAATCAAAATTTGAAAAATTTAAACACTTTCAGACTTTAAGGAAAAATATCATCTATATGAAGTGAATAGTGCATGTAATGATGACCTGTAATTAAAATGTAAAGTAACGATGAATCTTTTAAAATATTTGTCATGTTACTTTTAGGTCGCATGATACTATATATCAAACATGATAAAAGAGAAAAATGAATTATTAGCATGAACTGTTGTAATGTTAAACGCTTTATGAATTCCTACTTTTTTGTATTGTAAAGTGACTCATATAGCTTACACTCTGATGTTATCGATACTAAGGTTTTCCATGCAGATGATACACCCTGTAAAAAATATTCAGCTGACAATTGATTGATTAAACATTAAATATGATGTTATGTTTCCTTTTACCAGTATATTAAATATACTTATAAAACAAGAGACCCATGGGCCTTATAGGTCACCTGAGCATTATGCAACAACTTTCCAGTGATTTAATTTAATTCATGTTTTAAGCCAGATCTATGGCATTCACAATTTTGAAAGAGGCACCATTGATCATCATAACTACATGTATACACTTAGCAGTTACTTAGTTTAGTTACTTAATACCCATTGGCAAGGTAGGGGAACAAAAAATGCATTTCAACTAATCAGTAATATTCAGCAATAATCTGTAGTGCCCCTACCACACATGAACCCCTGATCCTTAGGCCTAGATCCACACATTGCACAATTTTTGAAAAGGCATCCTTGCTTTTCAAAAATATTTGATTAATACCAAGAAGCAGATTTCAAACAATTCGTTCATTTTCAGTATATAAGTACAGCCCCCCCTCCAACCTCTATGGTACCCCTGACCCTGGGGCCTTGAAATTTACAATTCGGGAAGATTATGGCCCTTGCTCATCATAACTATATAGGTAGTTCATCTGCTTAATACCCAGGATCAGAGAAGAAAATTTTCAAAGATTTAATGTATTTTCACTATATAATCAATAGAGCCCCGTCCTAAAACCAGAACCCCTGACCCTGGGGCCATAAAATTCACAATTTTGGAAGAGGCATTCTTGCTCATCATAACTATGTACTTACTTACTTAGTTTATTTAATACCTAGGAGCAGAGAATAAGATTTTCAAAGAATTCATGTATTTTTTACTATATAATCAATAGAGCCCCGTCCTAACACCAGAACCCCTGACCCTGGGGCTATAAAATTCACAATTTTTGTAGAGGTGCTCTTGCTCATCATAACTATGCACTTAGTTAGTTTATTTAATACCTAGGAGCAAAGAAGAAGATTTTCAAAGGATTCATGTATTTTCACTATATAATCAATAGAGACCCGCCCTAACGCCAGAACCCCTGACCCTGGGGCCAATAAATTCACAATTTTGGTAGAGGAACTCTTGCTCATCATAACTATGTACTTAGTTAGTTTATTTAATACCTAGGAGCAAAGAAGAAGATTTTCAAAGGATTCATGTACGTATTTTCACTATATAATCAATAAAGCCCCGCCCTAACACCAGAACCCCTAGGGCCTGACCCTGGGGCCATAAAATTCACAATTTTGGTAGAGGCATTCTTGCTCATCATAACTATGTACTTAGTTAGTTTATTTAATGCCCATGAGCAGAGAAGATTTTCAAAGAAATAATGCATTTTCACTTCATACTCTATTTAGCCCCGCTCTGACCCTGGAGCCATTTTCACAATTTTGGTAGAGGATTCATTGCTAATTACAATCATGCAAACAGTTTGACTGCTTGATGTCCAGGAGTAAAGAAGAAGATTTTTAAAGATTGCATTAATTTTAGTGGTTTTGGCCCCACCCCTAAGGCCCCAGGGGGGCAGGGATCATGAAATTCATAAATTTTGTTCCCCTTCACCCATAGATGCTTTGTGCCAAATTTGGTTGAAATTGGTTCAGTGGTTGCAGAGAAGAAGCTGAAAATGTTCAAATGTTAACGCACGACGCACAACGCACGACGCACGACGACGGACGAAAACGGATAGCAATAGGTCACCTGAGTAAACTCAGGTGACCTAACAACCTTGTTTTCAAAACAAAACATCGCTCACCTGAGCACATCGGCTAGGAAAACGCACAAATCAGATCAGAATTGAAAAGTTTACTAAGGGGGTGGGCAAGGGGAGAGACTTGAATTACTAAATCATGGCTTTGCTATTCTTTAGAGAAAAGATTTCTTTAAAATATATTTTAGTGTAAAACTTGGATTCCCCATCATGGTCCCACCTTATCACTGGGGGTTATGATTTGAACAAAATAAAATACAGTATCTGAGGATGCTTCCATAAAAATAACAGTCTAATCATGGCTTTGTAGTACTTGTGAAGAAAATTTTAAAGATTTCCCTATATATTCCTATGTAAAACTTTGATTGGCCATTGTGGTCCCATCCTATCCCCGGGGGCCAAGATTGGAGAAACTTGAATATACACTACCTGAGGATGATTCAACATGAGTTTCATATTTCCTGTTCTTATGGTTCTTAATAAAAAAGATTTCTAAAGATTTTTCCGATATATATTCCTATGTAAAATTTTGACCGGCCATTGTGGCCCCACCCTACCCCCAGGGGTCATGATTTGAACAAACTTGAATGAACACTACATGAGGATGATTTCACATGAGTTTTATCTTTTCTGACCCTTTGGATCTTGAAAAGATTTTTAAAGATTTTTCCTATATATTTCTATGTAAGACTTTCATCGGCCATTTTAGCCCCACCCTTGGGTCATGATTTGAACAAATTGAATGTACACTACATGAGGATGATTCCACATGAGTTTCATCTTTCCTGGTCCAGTGGTTCTTGAGAAGAAGATTTTTTAAAAATGCCATTAATTTTTCACTAATTTATAATTACTAGTATCTCCCCTTGGAAGAGGACGTGGCCCTTCATTTGAACAAACTTGAATTCCCTTTACCCAAGGTTACTATGTTGCAAGTTTGGTTGAAATTAGTCCAGTGCACCGACAACGACGACAGACAACGGATAAATTTTGATCAGAAAACCTCACTTGAGCCTTGGGCTCCGGTGAGCTAAAAAATCAAGACAAATATACAATTTCCCGTTATTTAGCATAGTACCCGAAATTCTTCCCTTTCAAAGGAAAGTAAATATTCATTCTTATGTTTCATACGTATATTCTTTGACCTCAATAGTGAACAAATTTCCTTCTTGGCTAGAAGTTTTAGTACTTTGATATGGTGTGAATACAGCGATGACTTTGTATATCACTCTGACCAAACAATGGTGCGGAAATATGCCTTTAAAAATCACTTGTTTGTACTTGAAACAAGATATCCATGGGCAATAGTTTACTCGAGTATCCTCAGCTCTTTGCTGTTTTCAGAGGATTTTTAATGGATTTGTTTTCCATAGAAAATTTAACACTCCTTCTAAGGCCTCATCTTATTTCAAGGGGTCATAAGTTAACAATCATTGAATCTGCATAATATAAAGATGAATTTTAGAGGAATTCATAGAATATAATTTAGTGTTGCTTCTACAGTACCTATTCACTTGTCTAAATAATCAATATGATAGTGTTACAATCTTCCAGGAGGAAGAAAGTTCTATGAGCGGTCAGGCAGTTTGCCATTTGCCAGATACAAAAGAGTTACAGCATATCTAACTGGTTCGAATCTAGGTTTTCTTCCTCCCCGTTACTTGAATTTGCGGTGCCCTGCAAGGGATGCATGTAGAAAGTAAAAAGCGTGCCAAGAATAAGCCATATTTGGCTTTTATGGACAAAGAAAAATGTGAAAGGAATATGTTGTATTTCCACTAACTGTTTCTTCATATATACAAGAAATATTAGTTTGTTCGTTTGTTAACGTCGACGTCTCTTCAATGATTTTTCACGTACTGAGACGCCATCACTTGTCGGTGGAGGACTGCATGCAGATTTAAACCTGTAACCAGCATTTAGGGACTAGGAGCAGTAATTATATTGTCTCATTTGAAGTATCGGTCTCCACGTTTTGCAGTAGTATTCGAACACGCATCAAAAGCGTCAACCATCCGAGAGCAAACGTTCTAACCAAGACAAATAACATGTCTTCACAAAATATTTTCATAAATAAAACATATGGGGGTTACGAACATTATTCAAGATCAAAAGTCAATAAAATAATGCAAAATAGGAGCAAAGCAAACATGGACCTCCAAAACATCAAAGGTAAGATCAAGTGCCATAGAGGATTGAGCATCCCTTGCCGACCGGTCATACCCCTGGTGTGTTCCGTGTTATGATCGGGAAATAACGGAAAAATCCGTCATCAATTCAGAAGTAGTTGACTAACAATCAGTATGAAAAAATTAGTCAGCTTTCGACTCAATGATAAATTGAATTTGCTAACAAGGTAATTGTATCGACCGAAGAACTAACGAAATAAGCAATATATAAAAACTGAAAATTTTCATAATACCACATTTTACACTCTCAGTCCAATAAAATTAATAAGCTTTGCTGGTTTTAGAGTAATTTTTTGCAGTTATTTTTTTACCACCATGCAATGCTATGGCCTTATCCCAGTTTCAATTGGCCATAAATTCACCAAAATTGAATCTACATAACGAGATTAAGACGTTTCCAAAATAACAACATGCCTACAATATGTAAGAGATCCATCCTTGCTGTTCTGGTGAGAATGGCTCAAAGCTCAATAAGTATTTTAGAGGAATATGAATTCACACAATTCATGAATTTCTAAGTGTTGCTCTAGATCTAGAACCCATTTACTTGTATTCCTTTCGATTCCTCCTCTTATATTCTGACCATTTCCTGGAAGTGACTAGAAGAAAATCTTAAGGAGATCTAGAGTAACAATATCATGCTGTTGTCTCCAAGGGAGAAGAAATTTCATTGAGCGGTCAGTTTGCAACGTTGTTTGTCATTGGTCAGCTACTACAGAGTTACAGCATATATATCTAAATGAATATTGGTTTCCTTCCTTCCTAATACTTGCATTTGCTGTGTCCTGGGAGAACATGTCAAGTAAAAAAAAGTTGCCAAGAATGAACCAGATTTGGCTTTTACAGACAAAGAAATCAAAAGGTCAAAGAAAGTTATAGGACCGTGTTGTATTTCCCCTAACTGTTACTTAATGTATACAAGATATATTGTTTTTTTTTTAAATTTTCATTTCAGTCTCAAGAATTTTTCACGTAAAGAAACGCTATGACTTGTAAGTGGGGTGCTGCATATTTAAACCTGTATTCATCATTTAGGGACTATGAGCAGTGATTATACCGTCTCATTTGAAGGACTGGTATTCGAATCAGCAACGTAAGGATACACTCCTTATCCTAGAGCAAACATTCTAATCAACGTGCCATGCGGACATCCAAGTTATATTGAACTTATCTCATGTATACATGTCTTCAGGAAATATTTTCATTAAAATATAACAACTGAAAATAGTCATTAGCAAAATTAGTCGATATCAAATTCCCAGTTTGATCAAAATTTTAAGACAAAGGCAAAAATCCATAATAGTGAAATAAATGTACCACAAATATTTTGATATCCCGTCCTGTTAGAAAGGAAGTTTAAAGAAAGTGGGCGCACTAGATGGGCAGTCGGCAGGATTCATTGACACGAAACAATTCAGATTTAAATGTCCAAGCACCATGTAGTTTTAATGCGTATCTTAGGTGGCAGAGGATAGTTTTTTTTGCAATCAAAACGTTTGACTGACGGTTTACTTAATATTGAGCTGATTTTAAAATGTGCATTGAAAAAATTTAAATTCCCTCTACATGTAATAATAGTATGATGTAGTCCCTTGAGAAATTTGAAGCTTTCAGGAATGAAATATGTACAACTTACACAATGAGCCCTAAAGATGGCGCAGGGACAATCTCAAAATTTCATGTGAATCAAGCCTATTTTCACTATTTCGCCGCAGCTGCATCTGCTTCCAGGCCCGTGCTCATGACCTAAGCTACCACACAAAGTGTAGAATAACATTTGTACATACCAATGAACAGCAAGAGATATGGGCTCAACCACCTCGTTTTCAAGCTACAATTCATCCTGTGAACCCACCCCGCTTTTCTGGTGAAATACCGGTAGAGCGAGTTTTGAGCTTAGTTTCGTATTTCTAGTCCATATCCCATATACAGTAGTAGTGACACTAAAGTGTCATATTTCAATAAAATAAACAAGGCCACCAATTCACTCCAAATGCACCCATAAAATATTCTAGCACTAAAATTACCTATTATATGCATTCAAACCTCAGGTTTCATTATTTTTTCTATTTTTTGACCGGTACTTTATTCGAAACTATCCTCTGCCACCTTATACATCTTGTAGAAACTGTATGGGAATGGATTTCTGTCTTATGTTTGTTTATTTGTAAATATTTTTTTCAATTAAAAGGTGTCAAAGATAAATTATCTACCGGTAATATATAATTATAGAGTATGCTGGATACATCAGCTGTACATTTACATGTAATAGAATATACACGCTAATAGAATAACACTAAATAATTTTTGTGCTCAGTTTTCAAATGCACTGAAAATATTGAATGTAACAGAAAGATCGAAGTTGCTAGTTTAAAAAAAAAATATATTCAATATTATTTCATCAGGTGTAACTTTGTAGTTACAAGTTCATGTATGTTTATTTCCATTTGAGAACGTTAGCACTATAAAAGACAAAATGTAAACGCATTGAAAAATAAAACAATGTAAAGTAATTTATAAAACATAATTTGCTACTTTATTCAATGAGTATTTAAAATTCAAAAATTTCAAGCTCAAAGAAAAAAAAAAGAAAAGAAATTACTGTATTCGAACCTAAAATACTGCTTCGTTATGGCTCGAATCCAGTGACAAACCAATGTAGCTACCGCGGAACACTATACATAGGTAGTATTTAAATCATTATTTAAAGCCAAAGCCCTATACATTTGGACTTTGTCACTTTTCTACCAGAAAATAAATGTAAAAAGTTTAGATTTTTGGTATTTCTGGGTCGTCTCTCCATTTTTTAAACAACTGGAATAAATTTTACAGTTAAAAATACATTGATAACACATTTAAAATTCATGGAGAGAAGACCCAGAAACAACAAAATTAATGAAAAACGGCTATAAAAGAGTCGATTTTTGCATCATTTGACTCGTACGGCTATATTCAGGTGCATATTCAAATAAAATCAAACATATTTAACTGAATATTTGCCCATCTTACATTTACCTACAACACAGTAATTGGCTAAGTTTTGAAAAAAATGTATAAATCAATGATATTTTTTTATTCATTTTATGAGCCACTATTCCTGCCGAATCGCCATCTAAAGCGCCCACTTTCTTTGTTGTAATTTTTCTCCTAAATATTCCATTAGAATTTGTACAATTTAACATGTTCAACAAACAAGTAAACACTTTCATGAATTTCAATAGTTTTTTCTTTATTTTTTGACAAGTTTTTTTAATCTCTTTTTATACTTTTTTTTTTAATTGAGTTTCAACATAAAATGTACTTCAAGTAACATGCACCATGAAACTTGTCGCAAAAATGTTACAATAAGCACCAGTAAATTTGACAAAGATGCTCCACATTTCTTATGGTTCTCTCACATTAATAAATACCCCCCTTATTACAAAAATCAAAAATTCTCCATCTTGCTTTTTAAATACCCCGTTTCTCAAATTCCGAAACTTTCACATTTCACTAACTCCTCTTACTTAACTTAAGGATCGATTGTCAATCATTGCTCATAGCAAAGGAATTCATCACACTGTTAACAGAAAATACAGAGGTGGGGAAGATGTTTCTGTAAATGTAAAACATTCAATACAAATCTTCATGTATACCACATCAGACATTCAATGTAGAAGAGCCTTCATTATTAATAATTCACTGTACAGTTGTTGCTTAAGAGATGTTAGTGTTATTGTTTGATTACTTTCTTTTTGGTGGAACCATTCTTTCAACAACACGTTTTATCTCTTTGTGTCTTCATAAAATTTGCTGAAGATGGCGAAAGACACCTTAAATTATATTTAGACCTCTTAAAAAAATCTTCAAAAAATAAAATAAAATTGTGGGCAGATATGTGAATAGCTCCATCTTTGCCTTAAAAATCTCCTTAATGACCAAGCCATGCAAAAAATTCATTTCAATGGCAGTTGAGATTCAGAAAAAAAATCTTCCACCTCTATGGGCAAAAATTACAGCAGAGGCAACTCAGATTAGATCTGATATTGAAACAATCCCCAGTAGAAAAACTGACAAAAATGATACCTCTTTTTTGTGGAAAGTTTGCAATTCGAATGCCATAAAAACATGCAAGAGATCATTTACTTTTGTGAGGAGAGATTGTTTCGAGAGCTTTAGCTGCATCTTAGCTGGTGTAAAAAACAGATCGCAAAAAAATTTTTTTTTTACCCGTTTTTTTTCTTTTTTTGTGCATAACACAAACTCAATGTTGTCTTTTCCCTTATTTTTGAGCTTTTCATAAACCATACCTGAAGTTTATCATCTCAATACAGCTGCTACAATCAATTTGCTGCAGTTCAAAATAGTACTTTGTTCAAAATTGTTCATTGGCATATAAACAAACATAAAAATATGAATCTGCATGAATGAACAGGCTGAAATGTTGTGAAATTTTCATTAGAATGAACAACCTCGAGAATAATATAATATAATCAAACATTTGACTAGAACTGAATTCCAACCTAATGAAAAGTTGGTGAAAGGAACATCATAAATATCAATCTTGTATTGGTATCAACAAAATTGTTCATCATTCTCTCCTTGAATAGTTTGGTTTTCACTTGACATGAAAAGTTTTCATGCTACAGTAATTTTTTAAATGATGTAAAAGTACCCGTCCGACAACTGTGGCACTTAATACGATAAACATGTACCATGCATTTACATGTAAATGTTCATAGAAAGAAAAAAAAAATGTTTGTGTGATGGAAGTTTGGATTTGGTACCAGCTATTGATCATGCTCTTCAGCATGAAACAACCTTTGTCATCATGCACTGAATAATTGCACAAATGAAATTCTTTTTTGGGGGAGCAAAGAACATCTCACAGCTTTTTTAATGCACATTAACCCTGTCTCACTTTATGACAACTCATTTTAACTCTCAAATTCACATTCAATCACATCAAAAAATTTCGTTTGGAGATAAAAATGCAGCTCAATGCCACAGTAGAATCATACAGATGACTGTTTGGAAGTCAAGTTTACGTAGACAATGATCTAAATTTGCCTAGTAAGCTATATAACCCCTAGTTAACCATTCACAGAATTAAACCCTTATATCATATATTGTTTAAACCAAATTTGACCGATATCTGAACCCGATGACCCAAAGTCAAATTATCCATCCAGAAAGAATTCAGGTATGACCTCTATATTCAAAAAGAAATCTGATAGGACTTTAATGCACATACTTCAAAATTTATGCAAATCAACCCCCTTTCCGCTATGTTTTGTATGAGCTTAGTTTTCTGTGAAGCTGTTTATTCACATCCAAACCTCTACCTTAAAATCCAAATGCCTGCCATATATATGATTTTACTGTGGACCTGAAAACAGAACTTTAACCAAAGAACATGGAGAACATTATAAACAAATATATCACAAAGCAAATGTAAACAACAGGAAGCCTTCCCTAGAAGCATCAGATTTTCCACTGTAGTCCACCCATCTGTATCGGCCTTAGACCTGAGGTGGGGTGGTGGCAATGGCCCTAGGCCTGGGGCGGAGTCCAGGGCTGGCGAGGTTCCTTGAAGCCGTTCGTGCCGTCTGGGCCTCTGGGTTGTCGAACGGCGATGACCCGGGGTCCAACCATGTCCTCCTTGATGCTCTTCATGCGACTCAGTAGACGTTCAGGGCGCTGGGTGTGTCTAATAAGTATAATACAAAAATTATCTAAATGCATATGATTTAAAAAGAATATGATGATTCTACATGCATTACTTTGAAGTTGATATAAAAAAAGCCTCTGAGTTTCTGATTCACAAAATTATGTAGTTTTTGGAGATAGGGTCTTACAACAATATGTCGGAATTCACATGGGTACTACTGTAAATCACATTTTATTCGTGAGAACTTAATTTTTGCATAATTACGCGAGTTAATGAGCTCACAAAAATTCTCATTCTCGCATTTAAAAGTATTCCTTAGAGAAAAACAACAATTTGTGAAAATTATTTTTCGCTAATAGAGAGTCAATGACTATCTCGTGAAAATAAGGTGTCGCAAAAATTTAGTGATCTACAGTAGTTGTGCTTCCTTAATAAATGACACAGAATCCTATGAATATACTAGATATTGTAGTCACTGATATTCATGCTTTGCTAAATTTGCAAACCAGGAGTATAAAACATAAGCATAAGGTTATTTTAAGGGTATATATTCAAGGTATAAAACTACAGCATAAAATATGCACAAGGCATTGTTATACGGGGATATTTATCAAAATTGTTTCTTATAACAGCAAAAACATAATTACTCCTAAACATAAAATTCCACTTTTCGGTATGTCTGATGACACAAGTCCACTTACGTTATTTTGCGCAGACTGCAGGCGGAATATTTCCCGTTGCGTTGGTTCTGCACAATGATGAATTCCACCTCGTCCCCTGCCTGTACCTCAACCCCATCGTGGACCTCTGTCATGTGGAAAAACAGCTTCTTCCCTTCCTCTGCTTCATAGTTGATGAATCCAAACTATGTTGAACAGAGAAATGAGAATTAATTTTAAAGGATCTTTAAAAAAGTAAAGTGAAGAATTTGCTTTAAAGAATAAGGATTAATTTATAAGACATTTTAAGATATTTAAAATATTTATTAATACTCGACATATCTTCCCAATTTTGCAATAAGAGCGGAAAAGAAATACTGTCGAGAATTACTGTTTAGCACCATAACTTGGTTTTGGTACCATTACAGAATGTTTGAAGTCCAGTGTAAATTGTTAAATCTAACAGTCACCTGTGTGATTCGCTTCCTTGAGAATTTTGGTCTTTTAATTCCATTTTACTGTTTTTTTTTAATGTTCTTCACACTGTGTAATCCAGTACCCTGTCTATTCTGACCCAAGCTTTATCTCTAGATGCATGTCACACTGGACAGATTTTCCTGTTCCATACCATAATTTATTCAGATTCTAAAATTAGCCTATTTCTTACCTGACCCTTGACAGAGTCTACCCTGGCCCTGGTGAACTTCCTGATGGCCGCGATGTTGACCGCCCTCAGTAAGCCTGTCCTCCTCTGGGCCGCGATCTGGAACTTGACCGCGTCCCCCTTCTGAAGGAAGTCCCTCTTGTCTGTCAGACTGGTGATTCCGTACGGGTAGGTTTCCGCATCTTGATCATCTGATGTATAAAATAAGATTCAATATATAAAATAAAAACAGAATTTCCCAGATGACAACACTCATTTGGATATTAACATACATCTACTCCCTGATAAAAAAAATTCCATCATAAGATGTACTATGCTCTAATACTTTGAACACTGATCTAAAATATTTTTTTTTCATGTTTAGAGGTCAGTCATGTCACAAGAACTGGTATCTGGTTAGATACTTTTTTTCAGTTGTCCTTCTAACTTACATTAATGTCACTGAAATAAATGCTAATCAAACCAATAAATATATACTCTATGAATAGATGAAATTTCTAATCTGCTGGGCCCAGGTAAGTTATCTGCCTATAATTTCTAGCTCTAGGAAAGAAATATTTGTTGATCACTTACCCTCCCCGCCCACTTGTACCAGGCCCGCGTACTCATCCTGGTCTGGGTTCACAATTCTCATTGGCCGTATCACTTTCCCTTGAAGAACTCCCTTATCAAATAATATGTCCTGCACAAAAGATTTTAAAAATTTTCATTCTATGTTGCTACTTGATAGTTTGCAAATGTAATTCAAGAAATTACAGTAAAATAGGCTCATAGCAAAGGGACCACCAATTATGAATGATTTGTTATAAAAGTAATTTTTTATGTCCACTAAGTTCTCAAACAACTTCATGCTTTTAAATCCACACAGAAAGAAAATCACTTACTTGTAAAAGTAAATTGATAATTAGCCTGTTTGCTATGAACATGTTTTTCTATATTCACAAATTTCCTTTATCATGATAAGAATACGTAATTTAAAAGCAGGTTATATTTGTTCTAACCTCTGGAGCCACAGTTCCCTTTGGCACTTTACGGATATTCTCTGCACTAAGTTTGGCACTTTTTCTTGTGACTGTGTACTCTACTTCATCTCCAAGGTCAAGGTCATTTGCGTCGCCATCAAAGGAACTAATTTATGAGAAAAAAAAATAATATTCACCAAAAATTGTAATAAAGTCAAGCAAGTCCCAGACATTATTTCTTAAAATATTTAATCTGGCAATCTTGAAGGGTTTCTTTGGTTCACCCACTTTAACAAGGTTTGAATGTTAATCAAATATTTTTTGCTCTCATGTTAGAGATGAAAAAGCTTTGACTGTTTATCAATTATGTATTCTGAGTAAAATACCTGAAGTGAAAGAAGACTTCCTTGTCATGGTCAGCGTTCTCAATAAATCCGTAATTATCCTTCAGAGTTGCGATAAATCCTTGACACTTTCCCTGTATGTTTCTAATGACAACCCTTACAGCTGCTGCGAAACGGGAATTTGATCGTTTCATCTCACCAATGGAAAACTCAACCTGCGAATGATTGATAATCATCTAAATCCAGTGAAAGAGCATCTCATTGTTCCAATTGCTTAAAATTTACCTAAAATTTCATTTAAATAGCAAGAATCTAGCTAACAAACACAAAGCTTGACTCTATTCACCCTGCATACTTTTTCTGATAATGTATAAACATAATAATAACTTGTTGGTTTGATATCTTGAATCTTAAGTGAGAAAGTTATACTTTATATTTATCGTAGTTTGTTGTTGTTTTTAGATTGAAATTGATTTGTTATATGGTATAAATTTCAATCAATTTATTTCAATACTTTGTTAATTTAAATGATTCATATTTTTTTTATTTCAATTTCAATGTACCGGTAGATATAAAAAAAAAATTCTACAGAGAGCAAATTAAGGTTGGTTTGATGGGAAAATCTTGGGTTTCTTGTTTTAGCACTTATAAAACCTGAACTTACTTTCTTACAAAATTCTAAATTTTTGAGAATCCTTTATCTTGAACTGATGGGCAAAAATTTCTCACTAACATATTGTCTATAGTTGCACAATAAAAAAGTATTCTCACCTTGTCTCCATATTTGGGGGATTCTCGAATATCCACTAAGTCTTTGTTGTAATAAGAAATATTTTGTATTTTTCCTTCATAATCGAACACAATATTACCCGCTGGCTCGTTGTCTTTAAGTTTTGCTGCAAATGAAAATATTCATTCAATTCATGTAAAAATATAGCATAATAATTTAATTTATATGTATTTTACCATAATCTGACTTCCACATACATCAATTATGAATATCTGAAGAGCACACTATATGTAACAGATAGTAATTCACGAATTTATCATGTTAATAGAAACAATCTACATGGAAAAACTGAAGTCTTTTAAAATCATGTATTGATAAATAACACTAAATATTTAAATTACAAAATCACACATTTAATCAATTTAATGCAAGAAATATAATAAAATTTGCATTAAAGAAGAATTCTTACATATTTTTTTTACAGACAAACACTTACATGGACTTTTATGACTAGATGGTTCCCGATCGACTGTCCCAATATACTTTTCAGGACGTATGTTTATAAAGGAAACGCTTCCCTTCGGCAAGAATCGGATTCGGATAGCCATTGGGCGATTTGGGGTAGATGGGTCCTGCAAAGAAATAAATTACTAATTGATGTTTAACTTTTATACAATTTAAAATTCAAAAGGTTTTGGTACTTGTTCTACATTGATGTAGATTATAAATTATGTCACTTTGCGAAAAGCAACACCTGAACAGGCCCAATACAATTACTGGCTTGGATTTTTTGTATTGAAAAAATACATTTAAAAACCCTTCATGAACAGTTAACACAAAAAATTTGTGTTTTTGCCATTTAACCCTTTCTGTCATTTTGCAACATTAGGTAGTTATTAATAGTAATGTAGTAATTCAATCTTGGCACATTGCCATGAGACTGTACTTCCTTGACTTGCATATATAATTTAATTCTGGTTGTAACGCTGTATTTGATTGGATAAAAAATTTACTTTATATCGTATGAAATGGGTTGCCTACGTCACAATGACTTGCAACAAAAACGTATCAATCCGCCTGATGTTACATTCAAATTTTGTACAAATTAAAGTCATTTTGTGAGAAAAATCATCTCTTTTTCTTACATCAAATGAATGAAAATTAAATTATAAGCAACGAATTTAATAGCTACCCATTTTATACGGTATAAACTGGGTTGGAACAGTTTACGCTTTTTTATAAACTGCTTCGTGGTTTATAAAGCGTAAACTGCCCCAACCCAGTTTATACCGTATAAAATGGGTAGCTATTAAATTCATTGCTTAAATGTAGCTACTAAATATTCTTACCGGGACAACAGTAAATTCCACCTCCTCGTTTGTTCGTACATCCTTTACTAAATCAATCAGTTCACTGAAGTGAAAGAAGATTTTAGAGTCCCTCTCTGTGCACTGAATGAATCCATAGCCATCCTTCAAGTTTGATATCACCCCCTTATAATGCATGAAAAGAAATATATGAATTATGAATTTATCTTTTTAAAATTGTACATGCATATGAATTTGATATGGAGGAATAGCTTAGTTTGTTATGAACAACACTCATATTGAAAAAGAAATTGTTTGTTAACTTTGTTTTGATTTTCTTTTTCAAACAAAACAAACTAGATTACATCTTCAACAAGAACTTGAGAAAAAAATCAAAAATAAATTTTTGTTTTTCTCTTAAAATCTTCCACTATGCATACTTTGACAAATATACATATTTTCTTAAACAACTGACCTTTTCCCGTTTTTCTCCGTTCTGGTTGAACGTCTCGGGGCGTAGCTGGATCTTGGTGGCCCTCTGGAGTTTGTCGCGGCGGTCGGTGGCCACCTGGAACTCCACAAGGTCCCCCAGCTGGAGCGTGAACTCCCCACACTGGTCCTTGTCACCGTAAGGAAACTCCTCTGTCCTGAAATCAGGATATTTATCTTATAAAATTTCCAAATTCTGTAAACCAACTTTTATTCGCATGTGAGAAATATTTGCAAGTTTAGTGAACTTTAAGTCACAAATATTAACCTCCGCTAACAATTTAATTTGCTTTGTTTTTTGAAAAACTTTAAAGTTTATTTATTTGTGAAAATTAATTGTCGTGGATCAATTTCTGACGGATGGATGGCGAATAAAAGATGACTCGAATAATATTTTGTTTACAGTAAATGCTAAACAGAAAGAAAAAACTTTCCACTGAGGGATGTGGAGGACGGTCTTTTAAGTTAAAACCATACAAGCATGTAAATTCGAATACAATCTTGAACAAATAAAATTTCAGCTATCCAGTTAATCAGATAGATAGGACGTTTGATAATTTTAAATGATTCCGACTGAAACGCAAAATTTGGACAACATCAAGAATGAAGAATTACCTCACAGAGATATTTTCACTATCATTACAATCATACAAGATTCCATTATTTATTCCTTAATCCTTATCGAAAATTTAATTCACATTTACCCTTTACTGGTCTGGCAGGAAATTTTTCCACCTAGTGGATCACTCTGTCTGCGATTACTCTTTAACGTTCTGATGATTTTCCCTTCCAATTTGTCGATGCTGATATCTTCAAATATGACTGTTCCCACGGGTAACTTTTTAATGTTGACAGCAACCTCTTTACCCTAAAAAAAAGGGTCTGATTTATATATATGAGAAACATGCACCAATTTTATACACGCAAAATCATGCAAACCAAAACCTTTGAATGTGATACATATTACGGATTGGATTTGCAATTCAGTATTTCTAAGCACAATTAATATATTCAGGCTTAATAATTTTTCTTCTTTATTTTTCTCTTTCTTTGTGTCTATTTCAACATAAAATGCTGCTGAAATACCGCAACATTTTTTTTCAGTAACTAAGACTCAACATTTAATGTAAGGTAGCCTTCTAGCATATGTTTCCTAATTCATACTCTGGATGTCTACCAATTTGTTGCCCTTAACATGGCAATTAATACATTTACTCAATAAAATCATTAGAGCAAGACATTCATCAGCTATATACTTTCCTGAAACAGTCATTCTCTGTAAACCAAATCTAATCAGCTGACAATTTATCTGGTAACAACTTACATTTCTGGACTGAACATCGAATTCCACATCGTCTCCCAGGACAAGATCGTTAATGTCGTCGTTAAATTCACTGTAGTGAAAAAATATCTCTTTCACTACATCCGCTCTCTCAATAAAACCGAAGGAGTCCTTCATAGAACAAACCACACCCTGAAATCTCGGGGGAGGGGAGGAGGAAACTAACTCAATCTTTCTGGCTTGTATGTTACCATTTCTGGAAAACGAAAAAACATCAACTTTATGCATTTTTTTTTTCTTAACAAAGTTTAAAAAAAAAAAAAAAAAAAACTATAGGTCGATCTCCATGAAAGGGTATGAATAAACAAAAATTAGATAAAACCCATGAAATTCTGTGCCCAACTGGAAGAAGGTGCTTGTTTTTTTTTTTTTTATTATTTTTAGAATTTCATTTCATTCCCATAATCAAAGAATATATTTGCAAAGCTTTTTCCCTTTAATAGCAGTCCTTTAATAGGTCTTGCTTTAATTATTAATCAATTTAATTTGGCATTCCTTCTCACGTTCCATATAATCACAACATATAATAAAACCTACACTATTATCTGTACATACATGTAAATTTTCAAAATATCTATTAAATGAAAGTCGAAGCTAAATAGCAAGGACTTACAGATCGTTTTCTATTTAAAAATCTTGTAACATTTGGACATGAACCATTCTCTACACACACCTTTTATCGGTAGCCATAAAGAAGGACACTTGGTCTCCTGGCTTCAGTTTCAGGTTGCTGTCCTCAATATCATCAAGTCCGAATGGCAGAAAGAAGCATTCTCCATTGTGTTCATAGGTCACTCTGCCCATACCATCAATATTACCATTCACACATCCCTGTTTGATGTCAAAATAAACGTTAATGCTACTAAACAATTACATATAAACATGATCAATGGCTAATGCATGATATTGTGATGAATGGGTTTTTTAATCAATATATGCTTTTCTATGAAAATTTATTTTTAAGAGTACCTAAAGTCTCCACATAAAAGGGGGTGGGGATTAAAAAGAATAAATAAGACACGTAAATTGGTTGGAAACTTAAATCTTATGAAAACTTAAATTCTACACTGAATATACATGTGTAATGGTTTGGGTAATGGATATGAGCCTAATTAGCTCTGTGACTGTGTCCAGGGTTTGATTCTCAGTCTAGACACAGAGCTCCAGATAAGGTGCGTATTTGCAGAAATACGCATTAAATTTTACAAAATACGCATTGAAAATTAAAATAGAGCGTACAATTACGCATTAGCAATCATAGATACGCATTACACCACGAAAGTACTGCATACAACAAGTTGAAGAATACAGGTACGACTTAATTATATGAATTGAGGTAGTCTCGAGAGCGAGAGTCTGGGGTAAACGAGACTAGAATTGAGGTTAACTCAGTGTTTGATTTTTCTCAAAACGGAAGTACACATTTAAAGCCTTTTAGTGACCAGGAATATTCTAGTAATGAGGACGACAATCTCCATTTCGGAAGGAAGAATCGGAGATATAGATTAAAATCAATTTCTATGTAGAAAGACTATGCACTAGGCATAATTTTTATTTATTATGGGTTCATGGCCAATTTTTCATCTCTCTCAACTTGCCATATTTACGAAGATTCTTTCAGTTTACTGTTGATACGATATCTTAAATGGAGGAAAAGTTATCTGTCTCTCTGACTCTATGGCACAGTGTATTTTGACCTACTGTATAATCTTCCTTGTAAAAAAAGAATGCTTCCCAATCTTACCAAAAAGTCTTGTTGGTATTTATTTAAATAAATGCAGGAACTGAGCTTTGAAGTTTTTTCCCTCTTCAAAAACTCATACTTTGATTACAGGCTCAAAATAAAGGTCAAAACATTTCTATAGAAACAAAATACCCTTCAATCATTTTGTTGAAAATCAAAATCTGCATTGATTTGAAAATCAGGGAGTAAATACACTTTGGGGTAACAAATTATCTGGAGCTCTGAGACATGTGTACACTTTCATTTTCTCCATTTCTTGTTACATTCAAATGTTTTTTCAGAGTTCTATAATCTTACATTTTTGCTCTTGCTAACTCTGGCTTCTTGCACAACAGAACCAGTGAACCGGTCCTCACTCAGCACCTCATTAGACGTGTCATCGATTTTTACGATGGCACAGGCGATTGGACGACCAGTTCTTCTATCACTTGACAGCTGGAACTCCACTGCATCTGAAAGTAAAAAGAGCAAATGAATTCTTGTCATACATAAACTACACTCTTTATATGTTCAAACTAAAGATATGAGAGCAATAAACTTTAATCCTGAAATTTTAACAATCTTTCTCAAAATGATATTTTGTTCCAATAGTTTATTATCCACATATCACCTCTATAAAATATTTACATAATAACTGAGTTATTATCAGATAAATCAAAGAACAAACCTCCTATTTTGACCCCATTAATGTCTCCTGAATATTCACTGAAATGGAAAAACAGACGAGCCTCTCTCTCACAACACTGAATAAATCCATAGGAATGCTGAAAACAACAAAAACATTCAACAATTGTATACAGCTACCTAAACTAACCATGTTAACTGCAACAATAAATTATATGAATTGTATGATAAAAATTTTCAAATAGTGTGTCAACACAACACATACGTAAAACAACTACAAACCTATCTGTGGCAAAGTAATTGCATGTCTAAATAAACAGATTAACCTTTTCTTAAAAACCTGCTTTCAAACCATCAAATAGAGTATGTCAAGAAATATAGACACTGCAGGATTGAACTTCTCTAGAAACAATTCTTACTCACCAGAAGTTTTTCGACGAATCCTGTTTCTCGATTACCATTGTTAGATAGGAGGTTAGAAGACCTCTGATAGGACAGAATGGCAGGGTCCTGTTGTGCTGGCGGCTGTATATTCTGTAAAGAAATAACAGTCAAGAAATAAGTTCAAAACTCTGTTTAGTGTAAGAAAAAAATCTAAACAGCTGCATGAGAGACATGGGAAACTTAAGCATGTTAATAATTAATTTTCCTGTCAAAAATGGATGTCTTGAACCTACTCAAATCAACTTAAAATTTTTGTCTGATTTTCTCTGCTTGCATAACTTATATGATGAAACATGACTACAACTACATTCATTTTACCAGTAACGAATCGGTTTCTAGTTATGTATTAAATACAACCCATATCTTTGAATTTCCAAATTTTCTTTGTTGTTGTTTAATTTGTATTTCTAAGCTCTACAAACAAGTAGTACAAAAATTTCCAAAATATAAACGGTACAGGGACATAGCTGTCAAAAATAACACTCCCCTTTTTTCCTAGTTTCGAATCGATTTTTCAGTATCGAATCAGGTGCCTTCTATTGTTGCTGACTTAATAAATGAAACCGGTTGGTCAATATTATTGTAGAAATATACCTTCAAGAAAATTCTACATAAAGTATATAAGCATTACTTGTTGATTCAAATGATTATTTTTCTAAAACTAAACAATATGAAAAATGTTGCATTTTATTCATGAGAAACTTTTAGTGACATGCGTTATTATAATTAAATCAATCATCTCTGAGTCATAATTTTCATGGAATATTTTCGTTTATAAATAGTTTTGATAGTATTTTCACTCCTGTCAGCTTTCCTTGTTTTTGCATCCCGTAAAACGGCATTTTTCGTTCTTACAAAATTCGTGATTCATAACTAAGAAAACTACACGTGGTAAGTTTAGATGTTAAATTTCATTCAAAAGTCAATTTTCGTTGAATTTAATATTTTATCTTTTTGTATTTATCCTAAATATTGATTACATACACAATCTGGATCGACAACATATCAATTTTTTTATTTAGACGCATTTCTCGACACACTTTCGTTTTTCTTAGACTTGCACTTTCGCATGTTAAAATCTAGGTCATTGGTTCAAATTGTAAATGTTGTGGGAAATAATCATGCAGATATTACAAAAACACAACACAGTGATAGAATATTCATCTTTTTATTGTATTAACCTAGTAAGATTTTAAAAACCCTTCACTATGTTTTTCTAGAATATTTAAATAAAAAAAAATATTCAACACTGGCAAATATTCGTTACTGGTAAAATGACTATTTGCTTTGATAAAAATTTTCAAAACCTTGAATCTTGCAAGACATTGGATATAAAACGTTCTATGGGACTAGAAATCTAGAGGAAATTAAAAGGACAAAGGGTTTATGACCAGGAACATGCTGAAGAAAATCTTTTTTTTTTTAAAGAAGACATGAACTACACAAAATATTGTTGAAAAAATTAGCCTCAACCCTTTACTTTTGTACCTTCCAGGCCTGAGGACTGTTTAACTTTTTGACAGCTGACGTCATTATACAGTTTCGTTGGTTTCTGGTGTTTCCTTCTGGTCAGTGTCTCTGCCTCACACTGCAGTATGTGCGTAAGTTCTTGTTAAGTTGGGCTGGGAAGTTCTTGAGAATTTGGCGCTTGTGATCTGGGTTTAGGCTAGCTTTGGAAAAAGTTTTCTTGAGTCAAATAGCTAAAAAAGACAAAATCAATGACAATGCTAAAATATGAGCTGAATCTTTCTCCTAAGTAGTAGTGCTGTTTCATAGAAGAAAAGTTGGGCCATCAAAGTAAACTGGTCAGTACATAATGAGACTTTTTATCTCGGACTCAAAAAGATAGACAAGTTTTGTTTGGGGAAAAAAATATTAAGCAAGTTAAAATGGATTTCTTTTGTGTGACCCAAATCAAAATATATGATACTATAAAAGCACCAAAGGGTGTAAAATTTGATAAAATTATTTACATTTGATTAAGAATAAAAAATTCAGTATATTTCTTAACAATTATGGACTGAAATTTAAGGAAAATTTACTAAAAAATTACCCCAACTTGCACAGTACTGCAGCTTGGCCGCCATGTTTTTTCTACCAATAAATTAGTCAAGAAGAAAAGCTATTTACTTCTTTTATGCTTATAGTTCGCTGATAGTTAGATATTTCATGACAAAATCATAAAAATATAAATTGTCATTTAATATAGTGTTGAAACATTCTTTAAAAAATAAAAAGAATGCATGAAAACCATTTTGTTTTGAGACTATAAATTGTGACGTCATTTTCAAAACACTGCCCTGAATATTTCCTGACTCAGTGTCATAACAATATTTACCATACTCAGGTATTTCTAAATATCATGTGCTATAATTTTATTTATATTTTTAGAGGTAAAACTTTAATCTTATGTCAGAAAATCTTTGAGACTACTATTTGCAAGATTTGTTTGAGGTAGGATAATGGTAGTAATCATAATAACACTGAATAAATGATTTTTCGGTCTAAAATTTATTATTTGGAATAGAATCTCAAGACATTTTTTCAATATTTGGAGCATAGACATATTATAGATCTTTTTTAGCTGCTAATCAAATTTACTGTTCTCAATTTGAGTCTAGCTGTCTAGTCTGTAATGTTATTAATGATTTCTCCAAACATTCCGAATTTTCTCCCTGTAAGCAGGTCCAGCACAATCTCTTGATTAAGCTATATAGCTTTAAAAAGCTATATAGCTTTATTAAGCTATTCAAAATAGCTTGATAAAGCTATTTGTATGCAGTTTTTCACGAAAACGTTTTTTGCAAGAAATAAACAAAAAGTAGCCAGTATTTGACTATTCATATGTAGGGTGAATTCACCATGCATCGGACACATACCTTGCTTCGGACAACTTTAGACAATAAATTCTCTTTCAACTTAAGAGTTCCGTGTATTTATTTGTTTCTGTCTAGAAGCTGAAGATTTATATTTTTTAATGATACCGATTGTTATTATCATGTTGTGATAAAAATACCCCGAGAATGGCCTTGAAGTTACGTCATATTTTACATCATCAAAGGGGAATAAGCAGAAATTTATGATTTTGCGATTTTTAGAGTTATCGTTCTTAAAATTCGACTTCAACGCAACGAGTCAGACTTTGGTAAATAAAGTCAAAGATTGGTAATTTTACATAAATTTTAAAGAAATTTCACTTCAATGTTCGTATAATTCTGTTTCGAGCTGGTTTTCACTAGTATGTTCATTTCTCCGTACATCGGACACAAATTAACCATGCATCGGACACTTTCCGATGCAATGGTAAGCACTACCATTTTCATACAGAACCCAGCTGATAGCTGTTTTTTGCGGAAAAAGAAAATATAAACTCTACATTTTCAGTCAAAATACAAGTTATCGATATATGAGGTCTGGAATTTGACTCAATTTATTTCTACAAACCAGAGTATGATAAACCATGAAAAAAGGGCGCGAATTACCGCATTATAAGCATTTTAAAGCATTTCTAAGGCAGACTGAGGTCTCTTGAATCGTTCTACATTTGTGCAACGATATCGTCAATTAAATTTAAGTTGAGGGTTATTTCTTATATAAAAGATAAAAATATATCCATATCAAGCATTTTAAAGCACTTTGATAAAGATATGATATTTTTCTGGTCAAAATACTGTCTGTCCGATGCATGGTAAACAATGTCCGATCCATGGTGAAATTTGAGTTATCACTAAAAACTCGATTTTTGAGGATATTTTCTCAATAAAGGGCATAAAATTGTGTCCCAAATTGATATTTTAATCACAAACTAAATGTTAAACTCCATTTTGATAATCTTCCGTCGGTAGCGATATCGCTAGAACTTGTTGAAGTACAAGGGTATCCGATGCATGGTGAATTCACCCTATACCGTGGACAGTCAGGTGTCCAGTCAACTCGTACACAAACCGTCTCGTACACAAACCGAGTCGTACACAAAAAGTCAACTCGTATACAAATCAGATGTCAGCTAGTACTTGTTTCAAAATAGTTCAGGGTTTTTTGTTTTTCCCATCAAGATTAAATGCTTTAGCCATGTTGATTTTCTAATTTTCTTCTAATTTTTTTTTTATTACTCTAATATTGCCTGTCTCACAGACAGTGTTTTCATGATCTGCAGAAGGATTTACATACTCATTTTGAATATTTACAATGTTCAGGTTGACATTGATGTTCTGAGTCTATTTAATTAATTTTTTTATGAGAAACAGCATGATTAGTCTTACCTACATAGAGACTAAAAAAAAATTCAGACCAAAATTTTTAATCTCTAGCTATGAATCTTGGCGATATTACCATGATTACCATGATTACAGTCTCACTTAGCTTCATTTCTTTGTACATCATGTACATTATGTACATGTTGAAATTACACAATGAAATTTATTTATTCAGACTAATTGTTAGGCCATTAGGGCATTATATACACATGGAACTGTCAACAAATTTCCACTATTTCTTGATCATCACATGGAGTACATGGCAGGTGTGACCAGTTGGAAGGGGATGCTCACTCCTCCATGGCACCTGATCCCACCTTGATATTTTGGAGGTCCATGATTGCTCTACTCCTATTTTGAATTTTTTAATGGCCTTACGAGCTTGAATACTGTTCACAGGGCTCTCGATCCTCTTTAATTGGGGCCGATATTCGGCCCCGTTCCCAACGTGAAAAAGGCACCTTTTTTCCCAAATTTGAGTGTAAAATTCCCAAAGTATGACTGCTTGATATTTATTGCTATTAAAAAATGATAAGAAGCATAGCTTTGAAAGTCGTAAAAGCACTGTGAAGATATGAAGGAAACACTTTCGTGTTGTAAACTAGCAGTTCGTATATATGCTGGAACCTGTGTAGTATAAAAACGAAAGTCGTCTGTACAGTCCTAAATTATGAATTCTCTTCGGTACGATTTGTTTATTCACATGTCGCATAATGCGAAATACTATCATGTCAGGGCTCTAAATTAATGGAAAATAGTCACTAAATGCGAATTTAAAACACGAATTACAAGTTAAAAACCCACCTTTTGCGAGTAAGAAAAAAAGGTTTTAAAAATGAAGATTACCATTGAGAAGCACTATATTGACTAAAGGAATTTTTATTCACTGTTTTAATATTAAATTCCCTAAGAAATAAAAAATAATTAGTTATCATGCTCCTACAGTTCTTAAATCCCAATAATTTTATCCATTTTGCAGCACTACTCAACTTATTTACTTCCAAAAACGATCGTTTTTTTATTAACCCGAATTTCCTCTATTCCCTTGTTTATGGTAAATATATGTAGATATCCCATTTAATAAATTAAGATCACTTAATCAACTAAAGAAAAGTGTTATGTGATTACCAAAAAATATATTTCCAGTGTATTTAATGATTTGATTTTAAATTAAATATTAAATAGAATGACCTAATTAGACCCCGACGATAAACTATGTTAGTTGCTAACCCAACCCCCTTTACAGATTTGAGCTAGTTAGTAACTTTTTAAATGGGAAAAGTATTTTTATTGCTGCCACTAGCCTTTGGGCTCGTGCTTGATTTTTTTTAATTATATATACATCTGTATCTGTTCAGATTTCATCTTTTATAAAACAACCTACATGTAAATGCTTACAAGAAGTAAATTAGTTTTTTTTAAATGATTTAAATAATTCTTATGTTATTTACTATGAGAAGAAAAAATTTCTAGCGAAAGTTCAATGTTAAAATTTGCTAGTAAAAATAAATCTGCTTTCTGAAATTTGCTAGTGGTCAAAAAAAAGTTATCATCCCTGCATTACTGTATTCAGTGTTGAAAAAAAATATTTCTACTAAGAGTTAGACGATGATGATGGTTTGTTTCAGCTACTATAATTACTCTGTGTTTATATTTGATTTTTTTTTGTTTTAAGAGTTTAAAATATGACTGGTAGAAATTTCCCAATTTTTGTAAAAACATCGCTTTTTTCCCAATTCCATTGGCCCCGGCCCCAGTACCAAAAATGGGCGTGAGAGCCCTGGTTCATTATCTCCATTTATTTCATGTACATAAAAGATACCTGACAGAGTCATGATAAATGAAATGATCTTTTATTATAGATTTAGCACTCTTACCCACAACTGAGGAATCATGCCACTGGAATGGCTTTTTGGGCGCAAGAAGACGCCAGAAGAGATGCTGAGGCAGAACCAAAGAGCTCTGAACAAAGCGATGAGGGAACTGGACAGAGAAAGATCAAAGATGGAACAACAGGAAAAGAAGGTCATCGCAGACATTAAAAACATGGCCAAGAAGGGGCAGATGGTAAGGAAAAATTATAATTATATATAGGGCCACACCAATAAAATATATTGTTCATCAGACCTCCGTGCTCGTTTTTTAACAGAACTATACATGTGATATTAATTTGAAATTCCTGCACCATTGGAATTCTGTGTTGTTTTCTGTTTCATCATGTTCATTTCCGCTCTATTTATCGTACTTTGAATTTACTTACTCTTTACATCAGAATAAATATAATTTGTCCGCTCAAATTTTTTACACCCCGCCTTAAAATTTTGCCTTCAAAAAAGTAATTATATTATTATTTAACCGCTAGCCCGTTCGAACTTTTCTCATCAAATGTCCAAAGAACAATAAATTAAATTGGTGTGGCCTAGAAGTCAGTAATATGTATGAAATCTGTGAATGTTACAAACTTCACATTTTAATTTGATATACACAGTGGCAGATCCAGGACACTTGCAAAGGGTTGGAGGATTAGTTTTTGGGTCAGGGTAGGGGCCCACAGTAACCCCTAAAAGACTCATATTTATATTTTTGACACTGGTGGATGTTGAATTTAATGTATTGTACATAATCAGTAATCATGATAGTGTTAATATTTTAAATGTCTTTATCAAAGAGAAATTTTCGTGGAGGGAAAAATACTTAAATAGATAGAATGTTACATAGCCACAAACTAATTAAAACTTTCTGTCATAGGATGCAGTAAAGGTCATGGCCAAGGATCTTGTGAGAACCAGGCGGTACGTGAAGAAGTTCATCTTAATGAGGGCTAACATCCAAGCTGTGTCCTTGAAAATCCAGACCCTGAAATCTAACAACGCAATGGCACAGGCTATGAAGGGGGTCACTAAAGCCATGATGACGATGAATCGGCAGGTATGTTACATGCCAAAGGCAACTGCTTTGAAATTTGCATGCCAGAGGGCATTTGATACATCACAGGGGCTTCTTATCTGTTCTGTTCTCTATTACATATTTCAAGGAATATTTGAAATAGAGAACAGAAAACAGAGCAAATCAGATAAGTCAGACACTTAGGATCTATTTATATACAACTTGATAATCAATTTTGATAAAAGTGATTAACAATATTTTTCAATGAATTCAATGAGAATACTTTTATAATGATTATTGATATATACTGAAAGGAAAAAGAAACGCATAATAGCATAATAGCGAAAATTATTTAACTATGTGGCCGAAAATTATGAAAATTGGTCAGATGTGTATTTTGGTTACTGTGCACTAAAATCGCTGGTCAAAATTACTCAACCATGAAATGTAAGGTGTCACGTAGGGGAAGTGATAAAAAGCCAAATACACGTGCATGTTGATGATGACAATTTTGTGATCACATTTTGTAGTGCCAAGAGATGCATTATAGTTATAGACATCGTTTTCCGATATTTGCAGTCAATACAAATTTCATGCAATCATGGTATGGTTGACGTAAGTTACAGTGGGTCTACTAATTGAGTTGCATAAGTGAATAAAAAGGCAACAACATGTTGCTGTGCAGTTTTTTTTAAACTTTTCAACCAAAAAAGATTTTTTTCGGTTATCAGAGAGTAACTTAAAAGGTTTCCAACCAACCATGAGGGTGACGTTGGCGCGTAACAACGTCCCATCAAGATAGGGCTTTTCATCATGCTACCTCTGCTATTGTCAAGTCATTATCACTGAAACCGATATTTTTACAGCAGGCAATCCTACTCATATTTTCACCCTAATACTGACAGAAAGTCTCTGCTCTAATTTGGTATGCAAGCTTGGCAACTTTACGTCGATTTTACTCTCACACACGCACGCACACGCCGTATGCTTATTGTTTTTAGCATGTTCACGCTGAGAAAATGTAGCCAGTGTTTGTCGATACTTCCTTACTAACATTCACGTGTACCAAATCAGCTAGATTCAGTAAATTCTATCCTAAATCGAAAATTCATGGGATTCATTGGGCGGGGGGATTTGTTAGCTTTGGAATAATACAGCTACTCTCAACCATTAAGACTACCATCGGAAGGCTTTAATGATAATCCTTGAGAAAGAAAAATGCTCTGGTGAACTCAATGCACAAGAAAATCAAGACTGTTACTGATGTGCAAGGGAGATAATGAGAATTTTTATTTTAAATTTGGGGGGTATCGATATATCAATTTCAATAACTCAGGAATTATCAGTCAAAGTCACACAAGATTTCGGTTACTTGTTGTTTAAAGTTGACTTAAAATGTTTGATAACAATACTGGAAAACATATTGGAAATAAAAGTTTTAATTTCATTCAAAAGTTTATTATGCGTTTCTTTTTCCTTTCAGTATACTTGTTTAAGTGTATACTGGTAAACAGAATTTCCCATGATGCATGCAATTGCTGTTAAATAACATGTTTTGTGGTGGCAGTTTTTCAGAAAGTTTGAAATTATTGAAAGCATTGTTGAAGACTTATGAAATTTATATTTGAAGGAAGATTATATTTCCAGCGTAAAAGATCAGATTGAATTTTTTTATTTTTTGAAAAAAAGGAGTAGATCTCACATTTGGTCTCAGTCTTACTTTTACAGAGGGGGCTGTACAATGTTAAAAAGTGAGTTTAAGTTCTATGGTTTGAGAACATGGTGTTGTAGTCACAGTGTACTCTTCATTGAACAAGTACACCATTGTGAAAAATTGTCTAATATAGAGTTCTAGTTTTGAAAACTGTATACAGGGAAATTTTTGCCCTTGTTTATTTTCGCCCCTTTCACCTTACCCTCTTTTGTGCGAAGGTAAATCAGGGTGAATTTAAACAAAACAGTATAAATTCCTAAACAGAACTATGAATAAGCAAATTAAAAACGGAGCAAATTTGTTTTAAAAAAATGACACGGGGCAAAAATAATCCTGTATACAGTAGATCCTAAAAAATTGTGAACAACATGCCTCTAAGTTAAATTTACATTAATTTATTTTTCAAATAATTATCCTTCTGAATTGTTATGTTTTAATTTTGAACACTAGCTGAAGTTACCACAGATTCAGAAGATCATGATGGAGTTTGAGAAGCAGTCAGAGATAATGGACATGAAGGAGGAAATGATGAACGATGCCATTGATGACGCCATGGGGGATGAGGACGATGAAGAGGAAAGGTAGGTTGATCTAAGAGGAGTGGAGGGTTTTGAAATCAAGAGTTTTTGCTTTCAAACATTTCTACTCTGACTTTCTGCATTATAGTTTTAATGTTTTTCATTAATACAAAAGAAAATTGCCATTTTTCTTAGGTATTAAGAATAAAATTAAAATATGTAAAAGTGCAAGGATGTGTCAATCAAATTTGACCAGAAATTCGAAGTTTCAGTACATGTATTAACTTCAAGATGAAATAAGATTTTTATTATATTTTTGTGCAATATGCTTTTGCAATATATAAGTTGTGATATTATATGTCAGAAAATTTGAGAAAATATTAAATTCAAATCTGTGGCTAAGCATCGTACCTTGCAAATGAAAAGTCTTACGCATTGAAATGTAGGAAAGAAATTTGATATGCTGTTTACACACATATCAACTTTACCCATTTAATAATCTGTTTAAATATATTTGACTTCTTTTTTTTACCAGTGATGCTGTTGTCTCACAAGTCCTTGATGAATTAGGATTGCAGCTAACTGATCAACTCTCAGGTAAAATATCTCTCCCACCCTCCCCCACACACACACAAATATGTTTAAAATTAATACAGAATTATAGATAGTACAGTTTATCCTCCTGATTAAAAAAAACAACTTAAAATGATGGCCAAAAATGGAATTAATCTCCACTGAAGGAAAAGAAATTGTTATATTTTGAGGTATAATGTTTTTCTACAGACATCCCAGCTGCTGGAACAAGTTTAGGAGCAAAAACAGCAGAAAAACAACAGCCCCAGGCTGCAGGAGTCAGTGACGCCGACGCTGATCTGGAGGCGCGGCTTGAGAACCTGAGGCGACAGTGAGAGGGCGTGGTTAAATTATGATTGACAGATGAATGACTGATCTGTGTGAATGAATTATAACTGAGTGCATGCGATAGCAGTGTTTTAGTGAAACTCTGAGAAAGAGATGTCGTGGAGTGATTTTTCATGGTAAAGAGAGGCAACCGTGGATACCTAAATACAGGAGGTGTCTTATTTGATCATTGTGATGGAAAAGGTGCATTAGTTGTACACATGTACATATAATTCATGTACCCTATGTGTAGTTGAAAATATTATATACTTAAACATACACATAATTATTATTATGTTTTTTAAAGATTGTTTTTCTTGTCATTTGACATAGAAGTAGATGGGGTTTTTTTTTCCCGAAAAGTGATAAGATTTAAATTTTCTATGTGAACAATGTAATATGCTGTCAGTAGTTTAGATTTTCTTGTACTTGCATATAACTTCATATTTTTTATCATTTCCTTCATACATGTATTTGCAATTTTTAGAAAGGCATATCTGTTAAACATGTTTTGCTTAAATATTGATATTAAAATAATTCAACACCATGGAAATCTTCAAGAAATCTTTAAAACAAAACTATCTGATATACATGTACATGTAACTGAGTTGCCTCTTATACCAGTGTATGGTCTGAGAGCAATAAACAAAGGAATTATTAAAATAAAAAGTTTTGATATCGTATATTATACAATTATTGCTGTTTTTTGAGGTCAGTACAATGATTTAGCCGTCTGAGGAGTAGAATATTCACCGAGCCCGAAGGGCGAGGTGAATATTGTTCTTCGAAGATGGCTAAATCATTGTACTGACTGAAAAAGCAGCAATAATTGTTTTATTATATGATTCACTGATAAAATGATACAGCTCATTACTTGTTTGCATTTAACTAAGTCCTAGCCAAATACAAGAGAGAAGGAGAATTAAAATGTAAATAAACCTTACCAGTCGTATCAATTCGAAATGATTTTTTTTTTATCAATTTTAGTTGCCATGAAAAAAATATATAATGTAGTCTTTTTTATAGGATAGTTTTTGAAAGGAAGAGTATTATCAGGGAAAACTGACAGCCGATAAAAAATTATAATTGTTGTTCAGTAAAAGTTTTGGAGGGGGGTCCTTGCATCCCCTCTTACCACCCTCACCCGAAAATATATATTCACTTATGTTTTGTTCACATGAAAAAAAGTCATAGTCGTTTAAATAGCTTTCCAAAATAATTTGTATCAATTTGGAATTTCCCGATCTATTTTTAGATCAATGTAGAGGAAATAAATCCTTGTATTCACCTGGAACGTCACGTGCAGGTCAATACAACGTAGTATTTTTCTAACATAGTTGGATCTCAGCCAATCAGAGAGATGGAAATTATTCAATCATATAATAAATAGCTTTATAACTATGTTCAATGAGGTAAGATTTCTTTTATTTTATATGCAGATGAAAGGTCATATCATTGTATTTGTTATATTTGCAGAAAAATTGTTGGAATTCAGATAGTTGATAATAATTAACTTTGAAGTTTGCTATCCAGATATACATGTAAAATGATGGACCTCTTATATTTAAATGTGTTGGGAAATATGTTAATATATGTAAATCAAAACTTATTGAATTTGCATATTTTGAAGTGCTTTGCTTAACTTTTAGTTAACTTTTACCTTTTATAGTGTATGAATCACAATACTGCCTCATTCTAAACATTTTAAAAAGAAACATCTTTTCTACAAACAACAGATTTCTTTGCATAACATTAGAGTTACTGTCACAATGGTAAATCTTATACATAAAGATTATGTGAAAAACTTTTGTTTATCAGATTAATTTGCATATAGAGGAAACCTTGAATTTCAATTGTTGTTTGATTTCATAAGAAAATTCCTATAAATTTATAAAAAAAAAAAAAAAAAAACTTTGTTTTTTTCTATTGAATGAGCCTGTCGTGAGTAAACTTTGAATCTTTTACATGTATAATTTATTCCTTATATTACCATGAAAGTTTTTGATCAAAACAGATTGCTGATTATTAATAAGGAGTATTTTTGTTTTTTTTAGTTTCTGTTATTCAAAATATTTCTCATGAAGCAGAGCACTGAAATATTTGATGGTCTTGAAATTCTCTATTAGGAAAAGATGTACAAATTAGTGTTGGAAAGTTAATTTGTTTAGTTTTCTAGCCAAGTCATAACTAACATTTCTCTTCATTCAATTGTGACCAGGATAAAATTTTGAAGCAAGTTCATTCTTAATATATAAGTAAATGTAACCATTTGGCGAACCTTGATCAAACTTGCATGAATAATACATATATGGATGCACATTACTAAACTAGCTTCTGATGCTGGAATTGAGCCACACTTTCCAGATGAGTTTAAGGACAGATGACACAAACAAATTTTATCTTTGGAGGAGACTTAATGTCATGTCACAAGTTTAGAAAAAAGGATAATTCTTAAAAATTTTCTCCTGAGAATTGGAAAATGAAATAAACTTGAAAAAAAATTAGTAATATTTCAATAAAATTATAAAAATAGATCAAACACACTCAGTAAAGGTTTACAGATGAGAATAAATTTCAGAAAATGTTTACTTGGTGCTAAAAGTGTAATATAAACTTCAGAAAAATATACCAAGCCAGATGACTTTTATAAGGAAAAGCAAAATGGCAAAAATCAGCCCATATAATATAAAGTGATTTATACCAGTTTGCTTTTCCTAATAAAATTCACCTGGCTTGGTATATATTTCTAAATTTTATATTAAATTTTAAGCACCAAGCTGATATATTCTGAAATTTGTTTTCACCTGTAAACCTTTACCGGGTGTGATTTGTCAATATTTGTTTTTTTTTATTAAAATATTAGTAATATTTTACAAGTCTATTTCATTTTCCAGTTCTTGGGAGAAAAAGTTCTAAGAAATATCCATTTTTCTAAACTTGTGATATGATATTTAGTCTCCTCCAAAAATAAAATTTGTTTGTATCATATGTCCTTAAATGTCAGATTAAAGTTTTTGTAGCAGGTTCTCTTTTAAGTAACTATTTTACGATACCTTGACCATAATTGCATGGATGATAGATCTAATAATAAAGTTGGATGCTGGATTTGACATATACATTTTCCAAACAAGTGACCAGAAGAAAATTTTTGACTCAGGCCAATTAACAAGAAACTTTACGGCTAATCTAAACCAAACGTGTATGGCTGAGCATCAAAGAATGAACACTCAATCTTACTTCAAAATCTGGCTTTGAATTATGTTAACGTTGATACAAGAACCAAAAGCATGCTCTTCTAGTATAGTATTGCTTTATTTGAAAATTCTAAATTGGTTGATACAATTATATCAAATAAAATTTATCTTTAAGTCGAATGTTGACTAATTTTTTGGTTATTTTTACAAGTAGTAAGATCATTATTTTGATATTGTCTGTGGATTTCCCTTTGTTTGTCTGATGATGACAATGAGCTCGTGGTGGATGCGTGCAGTAAACAGGGGATACTTACTCGTCAATGGTATATTCAGTCATACCTCTGTTGTATTTAGAGGTCCGTGTTTGTTCTCCTTCCAACAGACTTTTGTTAACTATTAGTTGGCATATTTTAGTGTTATAAAAATCAAATTACCGTTAAATGTTATTGATGGTTTGCAAATACAAACTTTAAACGATTTCTTAACACTCTGCAGCATTGACATTATATTAAACTATTCCTTCCCCCCACAACTCCTCTAATTTCCAAATTTGTCACCTTTGAAGTTAGTTAAGGAGGAATCATCAGAATGCCAAACCATCACCAAAGATCTTAAAACATCGATCCTATTAAGTTATGATCTGAATTGAAAGGAAAGGCCGACATAACCTCTTAAATTTATCATTCTATATGGGTTTTTATTTTGGCAACGTAGATGTATCGTAGTAAAGAAAATACATGTATGTTTATTTGCAAATACGATGGTTTGGAGTTAAAAGTTTGCTGTTAATGATTATGTATGCATCATATGAATATCTATAATAAAATATATAAAGAAATGCAATGAAGACGGGTAAATTTTTTTAACTAAAATTATTTATGAAAATAGAACACATTTTTTGTGAATATTTTAAAAATCTTTGTGTAAAAAGGAATGTCTTTTAGAATATCTATAAAATAAAATTTTGGTGTGTCATTTCTCTCAGAGAATTTCCCTTGCAACGCGTTTGATATAAAATATTCAATTTGGCAAGCTTGTGTTCCGTGTATTCAGAAACAAACATTTATGGAGTTGATGAGATTTGATTGAAATTGAAAGATTTTATTTGAAAATTGACAAATTTTGTGACCTTTCTGAGAGTGTTCATCGTATATATACACATATCTAAACCAATTTTCAAAGAGAAAGTAATACCGATTTTTAAAGGGTTTTTTTTTTTTTTTTTTTTTTTTTTTTTTTTTTTACCCAGAACTATGGAATGCCATATACGACAGCCAACTACTTACTGCCAACTGCTGACTGCTTACTGCCAACTGTCAGCTGCTTACTGCCAACCGCCACATATATTTGAATAAATTTTATTTTCATATTGATATTTATGTAAATTTTAAAAAAAAGGCGCGGATCTATCGGGACATTTTTTTCCAAGAGGGTCACTCTGGTAAAAAAAAAAATCCAACCCAGAAATTTGACAAGAAAAAAATACGCAAGGTCCTTTCCTAAATGTGAAAATTTATTTCGGCCGGGGATAGGGGGTTCATATGCGTCATACCTACATGTGTATGACATTTTTCATACCAACTTAAACACGAATCCACATTTTCGGTTGGGGAGGGGAGGGGGGGGGTCTAAGGTCCCTTTTAGTTGATTTATTTTATACATTAAATAACTTTTAGTTGGTTTAGTTTGTACATTAAATATTTCAGAGGGGTGTTTCAGACCCCTCTCTCTAGATCTATGCATGTAAAACATAATGTGCAAACAAAGAGATATAAATGTTTGATCGGCGTTTTCTAAGTGGAGGGTCCAAGGTCAGTTATACCGGTAGTTCGTTTAGTTTATTTAGCGTATGTCTGTACAAATTTTGAATCCCCCCCCCCCCCCCCCCCCCGATCTATGCATGTGAAACATTATAACACACAGAGATATACATCTTTAATTTAAGGAAATTTTTAACTAGAATATAATGGAAAACGGAAATTTATTTTCAAAACATTTTTCTCTGCGAAACGATAAATCTTTTTTATAATTATTCTCTCTTCAAAGGTTTTGTTGTCTCCGGGAGAGGGGGGGGGGGGGCTTCTTTAAAGATTAAAAGCAGAAAATAGTCATTTTATTACCTATTTCAAATAGGAAAACAAATAAAAAAAAAATAAACAATGTACTTTATCAACCGCATACATTGAACATTACATAAGATGAAACATATTGGTCATTTTATTCAATTTTACCAGGGTGACCCCTTGGAAAAATTGTCCTGGATCCGTGCCTTTTTTTTTTTCCTTTTTTGTGAAAATTCATATAAATATCAATACAAATATAAAATTTATTCAAATATGTGTGACAGTTGGCAGTAAGCAGCTGACAGTTGGCAGTAAGCAGTTGGCTGTCGTATATGGCATTCCATACAGAACAACACATAAAATTAGTATATTAGCCAATCACGAGCTTCGTTTTTCTTTCTTTTCTTTTCTTTTTCATTTTTT